ACTCACTTGGTAGCCCAGGCTGGCCTCGAACTCACAGAGATCCGCCTGGCTCTGCCTCCCGAGTGCTGGGATTAAAGGCGTGCGCCACCACCGCCTGGCTCAAAAACACCCTTTTAAGAATGTAAAACTGAGGCAGTTGGACGGTGGTGGCTTATGTCTTTAATCCCAGCATTCGGGAGGCAGAGGCAGGCAGAGCTCTTCGAGTTGGAGGCCAGCCTGGTTTACAAAGGGAGTTCCAGGACAGCCAGAGCTGTTACACAGAAAAACTCTGTCTCAAAACAAACAAAAAAGAATGTAAAACTGGATCCTGGCCTGAAGGTGTTCACTTTTAATCCCAGCACTCAGGAGGGAGAGGCCGGTGGATCTTTGTGAGCTCAAAGCCAGGCTGATCTACACAGTTCCAGGGCTATGTAGAGAGACCCTGTCTCAAAACAAACAAACAAAGATTGTAAAACTGGGATTGGAGAGAAGGATGGTTCAGCAATTAAAAGCCCTGTCTGCTGTTACAAAGGACCTGAGTTCAATTCCCAGCATCCATGTGATGGCTGACAACTGTGACTCCAGTCCCCAGGGATCCAACTCCCCCCTCTTCTGGCCTACTTCTAGCACTGTAGAATGTGGAGTACAGACATTCACGCAAACACTAACACACACAAAATAAAAATAAAATTTAAGCTAAATAGAATGTGAAAGACTAAAATTTGCTAAGTGGTAGAGTGCTTGTTAACATGTGTCTGAACTCTGGATTCATCTCAGGTATGTAACCCTGGAATTGGGTCAGTCCTCCTGAAGGCTGGGATCACCGGCATGTGCTGCCATGACCAGTCCTACCACAGAATCAAAAATTGTAAAACTACTCTGTATCTCTAGGGTTGCCTTTCTTCTTACCTCCATTTCATTTTTTTTCTTTTAGTTTTTTGAGACAGGGTTTGTCTGTGTAGCTTTGGGCCTTTCCTGGAACTCGCTCTGTAGACCAGGCTGGCTTTGGTTTTTTGTTTGTTTGTTTGTTTTTTCTTTATTTTGTGAGTATGGGTGTTTTGCATGCATGTCCGTGGACCACATAAGTTTGTGGTGCTCTTGGAGTCCAGAAAAGGGAGTCATCAAATACCCTGGAATTAGAGTTAGCCTGCCAGGTGGGTTCTGGGAGTCAAACCCGGTTCCTCTGGAAGATTGGCCAGTGGTTTTTTTTTTTTTTTTTTTTTTTTTTTTTGGCTGTCTTGGAACTCACCTTGAACTCACGAAGATCTACCTGCTTCTGTCCTTTAAAGAAGAGGTTTATTTTGGCTGACAGTTTTGTGTGATTCATTGTGTTGAATATGCTACATTTTGGTGGAAAAGGCATGGTAACTGGGGTAGTAACTCCTTCCTTTAGTGACAAGAGCAGGAGGCAAGCAGCCTCACATCTTGGTTCAGGAAACTAACTCAATAGCCTTCTTTTGGTCTGTGGATCTCATAGGTTCCAGATTGTGATGATTCAACTTGAACGGTTTTCTCATGGGTTGTAACTCATAATTGAGGGGAAAATTACTTAATGGATTCCAGAAATATTTTTCTTTTTTTTCTTTAAATTTTACTTATGTATATGTGTTTCCGTCTGTCTGTATGTTTATGCAGTTTGAATGGGTGGGTGCCCCAGGAAGCTGGCAGGGGTCGTCAGATTCCTTAGGACTGGAATTCCAGGTATTTGTGAGCCACCTGGTGTGGGTGCTGGGATCTAAACACTGGTCCCCCAGAAAGAGCAGCCAGTGTTCTTAACCATGGAGCCATCTCCAGCCACTAGAAATTTTCCACCAAGAAGAGTTTCTTGGTTTTTTTTGTATTGTTTTGTTTTGTTTGTTCATTTATTTGAGGCAAGATCTTACTAAGTAACCTTGGCTGTCCTGGAACTCTATGTAGACCAGGCTGACCTTGAACTCTGCCTCCTAGTGTTGGGATTAGCAGTGCACCAGCATACCTGACTTTCTTAGTTAGTCTTTAACATCCTACCTTCTGTGCAAACTGAGTAATCATTGGCCATATAGTTATGGTGACCCATTCTTGTAATTTCACTACTTGGGAGAATCCTGAGTTCAAAGGCCAGACAGTTGCCAGGCAGTGGTAGCACATGCCTTTCTTTATTCCCAGCACTTGGGAGGCAGAGGCAGGTGAATCTCTTGAGTTTGAGGCTAGCCTTGTTTACAGAGTTCCAGGACAGCCAGGGTTACACAGAAAAAAATCCTGCCTCAACAACACTTCTCTGCCAAAACGAACAAAACAAAACACACACAATCAATCAATCAATCAGATCAGTCAATGAAAGACTATCGGCTGCTGGCTATATTGAGGCCCTGTCTCAAAAAACAATGCAAAAAAAAAAAAACCTGTGAAAACCAACAAAATGATTTTAGGAAGCCAAAGATCAGAACCATTAAATAAAAATGAAGCCTTTTTAGAATTTGTTATTTTACAATACATTGTGAGTCTGGTGTGTATCCTTGTCAGGGGAGGTTGAGGCAAGAGAATCAGTGCCAATTTGAGCTACTTAGTGATTCCTTGTCTCCCCGCAAAGTAAGTTTTTTTTGTTTTGATTTTTCTTTGAGACAGGGTTTCTCTTGTGTAGCTTTGGAGCCTGTTCTGGATCTTACTTTGTAGCCCAGGCTGGCCTCGAACTCACAGAGATTCACCTGGCTCTGCCTCCCGAGTTCTGGGATTAAAGGCGTGTGCCACCACCGCCTGGCCCAAAATAAGTTTTTAAAAAGTTATCATATAGATTTTTGGGAAATTGGACTCAAGGTCTTTGGGGTTTGTTTTTGTTTTGTTTGTTTTTTCGAGACAGGGTTTTTCTGTGTAGCTCTGGCTGTCCTGGAACTTCCTTTGTAGAGGAGGTTGATCTCCAACTCACAGAGCTCTGCCTGCCTCTTGCTCCATGGTGTTGGGATTAAAAGTGTGTGCCACCACTACTTAGCAGGGCACAGGGTCTTACTCTGTAGCCCGGGCTAAAATCCTTCATTTATATGTGTGAGCTACTAACACTTAGAACTAATTTATAATAAAATACACACAAAAAAAAAAGCCGGGCAGTGGTAGCGAACACCTTTAATCCCAGCACTTCGGGAGGCAGAGGCAGGCAGATCTCTGAGTTCTAGGCCAGCCTGATTTACAGTGTTTCAAGACAGCTAGAACTACACAGAGAAACCTTGTCTTGAGAAACCAAAATGAAAAACAGAAACACTAATAAATAAAATAAGAGGATCATACTTTTTTTTTTCCCCTCTTAAGATAGGTGTTTCAGTATTACATTTCTTGGGGTGGCCTCAAATATTAGGCTCAAGTGATTCACCTGCTTCAACTTTCCTTAACTCCTGAATAGTTAGGACTATAGGTGCCACTGTTATATTTTTGAGACAGGCCGGGTGGTGGTGGTGGTGGTGGTGGTGGTGGTGGTGGTGCTGCTGCTGCTGCAGCAGCACGCCTTTAATCCCAGCACTCAGGAGGCAGAGGCAGGCGGATCTCTGTGAGTTTGAGGCCAGTGTGGTCTACAGAGTGAGTTCCAGGAAAGGCGCAAAGCTACACAGAGAAACCCTGTCTTGATAAACAAAAAAACAAACAAACAAGCAAAAAAAAAACCAGAGTGTTGGGATTACAGGCATGTGCTTCCATGAACTGCTAGGCTAAAAATTTATGAGGGTAAGTTTTACAAATGCTGACTTGAACAGCCTAGAAAATGAGACTCTGGGTAATTCATACCAGCATGCTTGTTTTCTCTTGTTTTTGAGCTTTATTTAGGAATTTCAATATTTAGAGGAGAGCAAGATCATGGAATTGTTCCAGCTAGTTTGTAGTTCCAGCTAGTTGGATCTTTGCAGTTTCTAAAAGGTTTCTTGTATTTTAGGCTCTACAGAGCAGTTATGAGGCATTTCCATTGCTCAATCATATTTTGGGGGAACTTTGCCATTTAATATGTCAATAGGTTACAGCTACCTAGTTTATTGATGATCTTGAACTCGAGAAAATGCATGGTTTATGAAATCTATCAGCAGTTTGACATTAACAAATAAGAATGTGACACGGCCGGGCGGTGGTGGCTCACGCCTTTAATCCCAGCACTCGAGAGGCAGAGCCAGGCGGATCTCTGTGAGTTCAAGGCCAGCCTGGGCTGCAGAGTGAGTTCTTGGAAACGGCAGAGGCAGTTGATCTCGGTGAGTTTGAAGCCAGTCTGGTCTACAGAGTGAATTCCAGGACAGCCAAAGCTACACAGAGAGAAAACCTTGTCTTGAACAACAAAGCGAGTGAGAGACAGACTATAGACTATAGTGTTCTTCATGCTCATTCATTTAGTCTGTTTACATTTAACGTAAAAGATATTTTTAAAATGCTTGCTTAAGGTTTCTTGTTGATTTTTACTCTTTACTTTTGTGCTGAATACACAAGCAAAGGCATAAATCTAGAACC